AGACATTGTGATTCGCCCTGACGAGGGCGATTTTTCTTATAGCCCTTTTTAAAGCTATTCATAATTAATGGAAGTCAAAAACGAATGCCGAGTGTTAGACTTTTTGCCGTAAGAAAATACGTTGTCCAGGGTGCACCACGAGGAGGTAAGTCTATCGCGCACCCTAGGGGAAGGAACATCAAAGTGAAAAATTCGAGAGGGGGGGGGGAACAGAAGAGTATTTCAAAGGTATAAACGAAGCAGACACAAAGGTAGATGATAGGTGAGGTGAGTACTGTGGAAGTAGTCGAATGACGCACGGTGGGGTGATGGTAGTTTGAAGTCAGAAGTCAACTGTCGGTTAATAGACTTTTTATCGTATGAGTATACGGTGCCCAGAGTGCACCAGGTGGAGGCAAGTCTATCATGCACCACATTTCACAAACTTATAAAATCTGATCACAAAACTAAATTATTAGTATCATCTGCAAGGCCCGAGAAAAAGGGAGTCAAGTAATGACATGTGGCAACTCGGATCTAGCAACGAATTTCGAAATCCTAGCACAACATTACTGATGAAGTCGGCTTACGGTGAATCATCATTTAAATAGTAACAAATAACCTGTTATTTTAGCTAGTTAATTAATATATCATTGCCATTTGTAAACCACGTTTAAGTTTCGAACGCATTTTCTTTCAAAATTGTTGGTTAATTTTTGTTCAAAATTCAATAGCCCATGGGTGTTTATACGCTTATCGTATTTTCCCAGAACTTTAAAGGCCGCTTTCGCTGCCTAAATTTTACATCTCGGTTATCGATCACACATCAAATCTACACTACTTGTTCCCATGAAAATGACATATAATTTCAGAATAAATAGGGTTGAGAGGTTAATCACAATCTCAATCTCTACCCACAAGCTAGGAACTGCCTTCGGCTTTCATTAGTTAATGATCAACAAAAATTGATTTATTTTCACATAAGAGTGCGCACAGAAATCCGATTTGCAATATAAATGGTGTCAACCATATAATCACGTATTTGATGCTAAGCGTCTAAAATGAGGAAAAAATCAAATCGTTGTTAGTAATTAAAAATTCATGTGTTCTTGTGTTTCTTGATTTGGTTTGAATGCAATTTTTCGCATTAATATCAAATTACTGATTATGCTTTTACAATATACAGGTTTTATAAACAACTCGTGTTCGATTAAGTAGCAACCAGAAATACTACAAAAACCGTGAATACAAAACTGCTATAAGGTGACTTAAAGGTAAAAATTGATAGTATGTAGGAAAAATCACTTAAAACGATAGGTAAAATTAACGGTAATTAGGGAGAATTCAGTCAATTATAAATTTCTAAAGGTCAATAAGAAAATATTCTAACTATTATTGTACATAAATGTTAACCTTTAACAGATTATATTTAAAAATGCAATATTGGAACTGATTTATAAGTGTTAGTAAATTGCTTTTAATTATCACATGTCCTTGCGCGTTTTGAGAGGAGCCTATTTGACCGTTGTAGTCTTCTTATGAATTTTATGGCCTATGCATTGTTACGACTTTCCATTCGGTTAAAAAAGTTAGAGAAATATGTAGAAACTTTATTGCAATTTGTGTTTTGGCATTTGTAATAATTTTATCTACGTTGTTATGCTGAGTGCAGCTTTTGATATTCTGGATCGTCATAACATTGCTGCCATTTTCCTGCTTCATAAGTAGAAGAAACGGATAGGCCTTCAAATAGGAAACCACTGCAAAAGATGAACGCTTGACTGGCCAAATTCCACCACTTTGGGAGGCTAAGGAATACTTTTTTATGGTAAGGTGGGCACTTATTTATTATTCAGTCAATTTTCACAAGACTTTAAGTTCTTTGTTTTCTTTTGTAGAATAAATTTCCAGTTGCCTTGGTGTTCTTCCTCCGGTACGTGGTAAATCAATTATTTGTGTGTTATTTGAACACAAGTGTGAAAACCAGTGTTTAATTTCATTTTCTTGACCCATTTTTGCCTCAAGTTCTGACTGAATAATGATTTGAATATATATGTATATATTGCGATGCATTGGCTTCCTTAATTGATGATCGTCGAAAAGCTCAATTTTTGAAATACTTTATTGAACCATTCTCGTAAACGGTTATTAAACTTTTATTCTGACTAGACTCTTCTAAACTTGAATACACTCTCAGCGCACAGGGCAATTCACAACCTCCATAGTCTGCAGCAATTGAAAACCACCTTAGAATCGTTGATATTGGAGCGATTGAAATGGTGTGAAAATATGGTGCACAACGTAAGTAGAAAGCTCCGAGTCGCTCGAACACACTTGGGAAGAAATGCCTATTGACATACTTATAAGTGACTGTCTTAAACTTCACATGAAAGAGTGCATTCCTTATCCGAATGGTGGGAAAGCCTAGATTTCCATAATACTTTTTTGATCAATTCCCTTCCATGGTAATTCCTCTTTAACTCTGTCTAGGCTCACATGAACCTGAGTACATTTATAGTACACAAGGCAATTAATGAGGCATCTGAAAACCACCTCGGAATATTGGTGAAATGTGGTGCACACCGTTAGTAGAGTGATCCCGAGTCGCTCGAATACATTAAGATATAAACGCCCATTAGCATAATAGTAATTAGGGGAACATGGTTTGGTCGATTCTTCCAAACGTTGAACACGTCTAAGTATATTCGAATGAGCATTAAACATCGTTGATTGAAAAATCGACATACAAATAATTTGGAGGAGCAAACAGGGAGAAAGAAACGTTCTTCATATTCTAGTGTCAAAGCAACGAAGTCTCTCGATACTCCACCATCAACCTTTAAAGATCCGCACAACAATAAGAAAGTCAGCGTGCGAAAGAGAAAACAATTTGTAAGAACCAGAGGCACTACCTTTAAGACTATGACAAGATTGTCGACTGTTAGATCATGTAATAGATCGAGATCACAGATTCGTGTACTCATGTGGAAATATGCTTCCATCTGTGAACTTGAAAGCTGTCTCTTCACTCTATTCTTCGTCTTTTTATATGCTTTTCAAGTTGGCCTACCCATTGCCTTGTTCCACTTTATGGAAAAGTGTTTTACCACTCCTGAGTGTTAACGACAGCCCAAGCATCAATGACATACTTGTCATTCATTCGTTTTCACAATCTGACAACTCTTCACGGTTATTGCTACTTGGTTTTCAACAATTTCCGAAGTAAATCCTCATAAGGACTTCATTCTGAGGGTTGAACTTGACAAATTCAAAACCCGGAGACACATTAATCCAGTAATTTGAAAATGGAACTCATTTCAAAGAGTTTGGGTGTGAATCAATTCAATTATGCAGCTAACTGAATGCACAAGCATTCGTTTGATCTGTTTGAGATTGCATTTACAACTAACTAGTTACGAAACAATGCATATATTGAAAAACAAATTTTCTTTGAGAATTAACTTGAACCCAATTTGGAAAAAAACAAGTGAGAGATACACCAGGTTATCAACTTTAGTTCTGATAAAATTTGAACAATTGATTAAGACAGTGAAGTTAACTCCAAATAGTCAATTAGTATTATTCTTTTCAAAAGCAAACTGGGCAAAACATAATGTCACAACTTATTATGAATTAAACTGAAACTCGAAATAATGATACCTAAAAGCACAAACAATTTCATCGAAATGACCTTTCTTAAATATAAACAAATATGACCTTTTGTTTAAACCAACTATCTAACTGGTGTTAATTCGTTCACCGATTTCTTGCTCTCGATGTCTTTTGGTCCGTGCCTAAAGTTAAATAGTGGCCACGAAATTCCCCAGCTTGCCTATGGAACATATGACGTACGCTTTATATGTTTTTAATATCATTCAGGTTATGTTTACTGACGTGATCAACGTCATGAAAGCAGCTTTTGGAGCTGGTTACCGTCATATTGACTGTGCAATGTTTTACGGCAACGAGAAAGAAATAGGTCAGGCCATTGCAGAATCAATGAAAGAGTACAATCTTAAACGCAAAGACATTTTCGTCACTTCTAAACTCGCGTGCGATCGACATGATCCGAAAGACGTTAAAAGATCTTGTGAAGAAACGTTGAAAGATCTTGGTCTTGATTATCTGGATCTCTACCTTATTCATTCACCTTTTTCGTTCCATCTTAAAGACGGCAATAATCCGAATTTTAAAGATCCGAAGGCATTCGTTTTTGAGGATCACAAACTTGAAGACACCTGGAGAGAAATGGAAAAGTTAGTTCCAGCAGGACTGGCAAAGTCTGTTGGCGTGTCAAACTTCAACAAACGCCAAATTGAGCATATCATTAAGCATGGAACGATGGTGCCAGCTGTCAATCAGGTTGAAGTGCATCTTCACTGGCTAAATACCAAGTTGATTGAATTCTGTCAATCGAAAGGCATTCAGGTCGAAGCTTATGCTCCTTTCGGCTCTCCTGGGTTCATTAAGTAAGGTTTCAAATGCCTTTGTTAATTTATTTGTTTGTTTTAATGTAGGGAAAACGTTAAGTCATTGTTTCAATTGGAGGCTGTTGTTGAGATCGCGAATAAGCACAAAGTTTCTCCTGGCCAAGTTCTGATACGCCATGCTCTTCAAAGAAATTTAATTGTCATCGCCAAGAGTGTTACTCCAGAGCGTATCAAGAAGAACTTTGATGTAAGTTTTCTCCTTTTATTTGGCTGTTGCTTATGATGCTTAATTCTTTATGCCATTTTATTCATTTTATAACAGGTTATGGGATTTGAACTGACTAATGATGAGATGGACAAGCTAAACAAATCTGGTATGAATATTCGCTTATTCAAGTTTTCGGCGTAAGTTATCGGTCGAATCTAAATGAAATATTTTCCTTCAACACACATTCAGTGAATATTTTTTCTACATTGCAGCCTTGCCGAGCATCCTGAATATCCGTTCCACGATGAATACTAAATATTGAATATCATTTTTGATTTATCCACAGATTTTCATATTTAAAAGAGAATATATCCATTAATTATTTTGTTTTTCTTAATTTTATTGTCAATTGTAGTGGTTGTTTCTTGTTTGTATCTGCGTATTTAGTAATTGTCAATTGTGGTGGTTAATAGATTCAGTGAAGCGAGAGTTGCATTATTAATAAGTGTGCATAATTGTGTTTTTTAATTAGTGGTGTTATCTATTGCTGATGCTGTTGTATTCTTCAGTTATGGAATTTTAATGAGATATTTAGTTTGGAAAGTGAAATCTGAGTTGTTTTCACTTAACTCTTAGTAATTTAGAGTGTACCACATAGAAAGAAGATCAAAAGTTTGGATCTGAAAACTTGGAAGCAGAAAGGATATTACATTGTACAAAGCCGGTGTTTTTTCTCAACATAGTTGAAGGCTGCTTTGAGCATGTTGAAGTCAAATTCCACTTGTGAAAGAGACATTCTCNTCTGTTTTTGTCGAATTCTGCAAATCCTAGTTTATACCAATTGGAATTTGCGTAGGCAAGGAAATGGAAGCTGTGACATATGTCAAACTTCCTCATCTGCCGTATGGGAAACTTGAGAAGTCTTCTATCACACTTGAGGGGAGTGGGAGAGAGTGAAATGATCTTATTTATTTATTTATATCAAATAGCAGGCGTTTTGGTAGTTATCATTTGTCCTGGAGCTGACTTCGGGGCTTCACAGAGAGAAGAAGGAACATCAAAGTGACAAAATGTCGAGAGGGGGAACAGAAGAGTGATTCACAGATGTAAAAGAGACAGACAGGCAGACACAAAGGCATAAAATGGTAAGATGAGTACTTTGGAAGGGGTCGGATATGACAACTAGTCGGGCCATAGTAGTTTGAAGTCAGAAGTCAACTGCCGATCAATAGACTTTTTTGCCGTATAAGTATACGTTGCGCAGGGTGCACCACGTGGAGGTAAGTCTATTGCGCACCCCTGTGAAAAGATCTTTGATGCTGGAAGTTAATTCAAGCGTCGCATAGAACAACTTCTCACAGAAAGACCCCTTGGGTGTTGTCGTCTGACAGACGCGATGCAACTTTTATTATATTAATTTTTTTCATTAACCAGTCACTTCTTCTTATTTCCTGTTGGGACTGTCAAAGTTATCACAAACACTATTTAATTATTTTTTGTCATGAAGACATTTTGAATATTTGTCCCCGAATCACCTCTACACGTAATCTTTAAACCGTTTTAATGAAGATACCCATTCCTCCTATAACAACATGACCTTCTTCCAATTTCTCCTTCTACTTGAATTCTTCCTATCAACTGAATAATGTGCCTAAATGCACCCTGGAGCAAATAGACGTGTAGTTGTCAAAACACTTTTCTCCCTCCATGAAAAATTATTTACTTACTACTGTTTGTTGTTTATTTCCAAAATTACTGTGACCAATTGGACCACTAATTTTGGTGAATGTAGAGTGTGCAATAAGAAACGATTATTTTTCCCCAAAATGCTGTTTTTCGTCTGCAAATAATTGATTTTTACTTAGTCAATAGGTTGAAATGCGTTTAAATGTATATGAATCCACTATTGGGATTTGAAATTTGGTTTATTTTGGTGACATATAACCCAGACGAAGCAACACTAAGAAGTATCTTCTTAATCCAATTAAGCTTCTCGTATTGTAGGCACTTCTCCTTACAGTGGTTGAGAGATCTATGCACTCACGACCTTATCTGCTCCCCAACGCAAGCAGTGCCACGAACACGCCTTCCAGTCTGTTCGAACACTCATGAAGCTAATTAGTTCGAACATGTTAGTGTTGTGTTCTCCAAAGTGCACAATTTTAATCAAATTCAGTTAAAGTTTCCTTTTTCAAGGAAGTAATTAATCCTAATTGACAGNATTTGCTTGAGTCATATTGCAAGAAACGCATTAGTTTTCATAACGTCAATTAATTTCTAATTATATACAATTTTACCACAATTGGTTCGAGAATCATCCAACAATTAACAGCCAATTAATTTTGGAGGAGCTTAGACATTTAAACATCTAACTGGAGATAAATATGCAAATCGATATTGATTTTTATTCATTAATTTTCCTTCCCCTTTTCTAATTATCAATACACGAACAGAGTGTCATTAGCAAGTCTTTTTCTAACATACGTAAATTGCTCACATCGAAAAAGCCGTTTTTTCTCGTTATCAACCGTGGGATGACCCCAACAATTTGGCCTTTTTCATGAATATGTATTTGCCAGAGGGCAAATTCATGAATAACCAATGTGCAGTTTTGAGGATTTAGATGAAAGTTAGCAATGGCATTCCCCCTCAGCCTCCTTTTACATTTCTATCTAGAAGTAGTTTTCTGAACCCCTTTCAATTTGATGTTTTGCAGTTTAGTTTCATAGGTCACTTCGTGTGCTTTCTTTGTAGTTAATATTTCCTCCATTATTTGATGACACAGAATGGGCTTTTCCGGGACAAACTTATTGATCCTCTAAACATTCTCCAAATTGCTCTATTTTCCCATTTTTGTGAAAACTCATTGTTTACTGACATATCGCTCTCATGTGCAGACGCGTTCATCAATTTAAGTAGAAATCAAGTTTTGCAATTTGGTGGGGTGGGGGTAAATGGGAAGTCCAATTTAAACTCTTCCCCTCTCATTAGATGACAAACCCTAGTCCACTCGGAGCTTGCAGTCTGTATAAGTTCACCTCAATATGAACTAGGAAAAGTCGTAACAACTTACTTTAGTAGCAGGTCAACCGATATTTCTTCAGTGAAATCGTATTAAGCTGGTTACTGGCCTAATTCAACACTGATTTCCACAAAATACGCCTCCATCCAAGCAAACTTGCACTCTTTTTAGCAATATGATCATGTCTTTTTTGATGGAAATGGAAAGAAATTGCTTCCATACCGACTTCTTTAACCAGGACTGGGAAATAAAATAAATTGATGGGTAAAAGTGAGACGAAATTCTCCTTCAAGTGAAAGGAAACTTTTCCATTTCGATGAACTATGAGTCTTGATTTCGCTGTGAAACAAAATAGATGATGATGTTTATTTCATTTCTTTAACTTGGCAAATTCATTCCGGGTGATATAATTATATCACAGCCCCTGGTAATGTGCATAATAAGTGCCCTTTTGACGTTTTTAGCTTAAACGTCAAACAAATTCAATGACAATTGGGCATAAGCAATCACGTTTACATATTCACAGTTCAGAAAAACAAATCAAATTGCTTCTTTTTATTGATAAACTTCCTAAATAGTTTTTCAACCACTTCTAGAACTTAAAAACATTTTAAGTGACTTATTTCAACACAATTTCTTAAAATTCGCAGATTTGCTTTTGCTATTGCTAAAACCAAGTGAGTTTCAATTTAGTCAGTGAACAAGCAAAGTGACTAGGGTGAAAAGTGAAAATTCCATAAGTCTACTTCAAATCAAAGCTAAAAAGTAGATGAATTAAGAGTTTTAGAAGTCGAATGTGACCCGATTTCAAATAGGCACTTCAATAAGACTTATTTCATAAGATTAGCTAAATTAACACTTGGATGTCCTTCAACTTGAATATTCTGACCATATATTGAAACTTTCTTGAATCCGATCGATTTGACGCTGAGGAACATTTGAGAGACAAAGCGATCTCACGAAACCTGTGTGTACTAAACCTTTCTGAGATCAAAAGGCATTGGGCGGTGTAGTTGTGTCTTCCATGTGGCCTCAAATGAGATATTTTCATTTTTTAGTGGTTCCTGTTAATCACCACCACCTACTCTGTCTGGCATCTCTTCGTGAACAAGGTATAAAAGGTTGCTCTTTAGATATTCCAAACTATGGTTGGTAAAATTCGTTTTCCAATTTTAGAAACTACTTTGAGTTCATATTTGTTGCAGAATAGCTCAAATTCATAAGAATATTTATTTATTTATATCAAATGCCAGGCGTTTTGATAGTTATCATTAGCTCTTTAGCTGACTTCGGGCTTCACAGAGGGAAGGAACAAGCAAAGTCACNAAAAGTTGAAAGGGAGAACAGAAGAGTGAGTCACAGATGTAAAAGAGGTAAGCAGCCACAAAGGCAGAGAAAAGGTATGATGAATAATGTGAAAGTGTTGGAATATGTCATAGAGTGGGGTCAAGGCGGTTTAAAGTCAGAAGTCAACTGCCTACTTATAGAGTATATATAGCCCAGGGTGCACCTCGTGAAGGTAAGTCTATCGCACACCCCACTCAGAAGAAGATAATGTAAAAGCCAGTTAATCTTGAGATGGCAGACAAAATTCCTCCTCACTTCGTAACTATGCCATGAGCTTTCCCCATAACCAGTTTCATGAGTGACATTTCTCGTCACTGGGTTTTGCCTCTAGAAAGCGGAAATGTTAAATAAAAGTTAAAATTAATGTTTCATAAATTTCATGGTATTGTCTCCAAGACTCAATGGGGTATTTGGTAACCACTTTCATTCATTATCACAGACAGAGAACAATGAGGACTGTCGAGTGCCCAGCGCCAACATCACCGAACTAAGGAATGATATACGTGCTAGAGCATTCTGGAACATGCGTCTTGATGCTTTTTTGTGCTATTGAGGAAATGCGTCGTGACTGCAGAGAACTCACAGTTAACAAGCAATCAATAGTCACTGCATTGTTAGTGCAAACAATGGATATATTTTATAGACTAAGTTCAGTGTATAGTGTCAAACATATAGAAAAAACTCAAATATCTACATAGGCTTTGTTCAGAGGACAAAAGGAAGCAGAGGATTGGTGATCAGAGGTTAACAGACGTCATAGGTTAATCAGATTGTTCTCTTATTCGTAATAAGAATAATACGTTGAACCAGGAAAAAGCACTCTGAGCTTCAGACCTCCACAACTGTGGCATGGGATAAAGGGTACCGATTTTGTATCCGACTGCACAAAGGCAGAAAGGTTACAGTCATCGAGGACATATTTTAAGCATATTCAAAAAGCAATCGATAGTCACTGCATTGTTAGTGAAAACAAAGGACATATTTCATAGACTAGGTTCTGTTTGTAGTGTCAAACAGCCAGATAAAACTCGAATAGCAACATAGGCTTTGTTTTGGATTAACTAATTTCGGGAGGTATTTCTTACTGGTTAATTTTGATTGAAGGGATTGCTTAATCCCACATTTTACCCTCCGGTTTACAAACAATATGCATATGGCATGTTTTAGTAATTGAACTAATGGGGTTCATTGGCATAGTATTATGTTGGCATTTTAATCTAGTGAGAAAAGAGAACACTTTTAGTAAGATGAAGGTGTTAAAAGGTAGTTGGTAGTAAGGACAGAGAGAGGTAGTGGATTAGAGAGCTCAGTGGAGAACTGACATCATAGGTAATCAGGTTGTTCGCTAACCTCAGACTTCTGCGACTGCGTCATCTGATAAATGGTACCGATTGAGTACAAAGCCCGAAGGAGTTGGTTAAAGTCATCTAAGACATATTTAAAGCACCCAAGTATGAGGATATCAGGTCGTAAATGGCCAATAATTACTGAAAATCGAGAACGAGAATTCAGTCAGAAACTGAAACTTAATCATCCAGTCCACCAAATTAGGGAACCTTAAACATGGATTTACTTCAACACGGGTCCGTTCACTGCATTCACGAGGTCCTAGTGTGTAACGCCAATTACTTCTTGATTCTCACCGAGAATGAAATAGTTGCTTTTTCAATTGTGGGTATGTGTGTGTTTGCGTTAGTGCAAAAAAGCACCCGTCGGAATTCTGTCATGACGTTGCAGTGACTTCTTTATATCAATGTGACTTTAAGTAGGTACGCCATTATATAGACCACAACTGTTCGTTTTGTGTGACTAAAGTTAAAAATTAAATCGTAAAGACGGATGAATTTATAACCACCCCAATACTTACTCACAAAACTGTTCTGCCTTCTATTTTAACTAGCTCCCCTGCCTGTTGAGACACCAAAGCAGGCAAAATTTTTGGTCATTAGTTCATCACTCCTTCAGTTGCTCTAATCCGGAATATCCAACTTTATCATTTTCTCGGGCATTATAAGCAAAATAGACTTCCTACCTTCGACTGCTAGTGCATAAACTAACATGGTGATTTTAAGTGCTGTGCATCAATGGAGTTTGAAATTATTCTACTTCCACTTGTGGTGATGATTTCGTAACTACGCTTTACTATGTTTCAACTTTCAGTGTACAAATTTCATGTGCTCCTTTTCAATGCTGCTTAGTTCCAAGGCAAGGGCTAGATGTAACGCATATTTCTCTTAAGTGAAGTTGATAGTAAATGTGGGGTTACATCAGTCTTGAAACCAGATTTGCTACATGGATTCGGTTGGCGCTGACACCAATTTGTGCTATCAACTATAGTTGTATCGAAATATAGACGCCTCTGATGTAGGTATATTTATATTAATTTCGCGCGTTTAGTTAATAATGTGTTGAGTGAATGGTCATTTGAATCGGTGGATTTATATTGATGAATTGGTCCTCTTGAAATCTAACAAGTTCGCGTCCAAATTTAACTCGTCAGATATGTCAACTACTTACACCACTATTATTTACAAAGTCTCGGTTTCAATAATTTGGCTGAATGAAAATAGTTACCCGTACAATTCCAAATCTATTTGAAGTAGGTTCCAAAAACCAGTTTTGCAAATAAATGCGTTGAATATATATGACTAAAGTTATATCTATGTAGTATCATATCGTGCTTAGGCATATACCTAACCTCAAAAAATTTGAAATGCATTTTTTTGAAAGTTGTGATAAAAATCGAACAGATTACACTTCTAATTTTAGGATCAACTGAATTGGCTGACGCACGAAAACACTTGACAGATATGTTAGTGGTAAACATCTGTCGAATTATATATTCTTTCATATAATCAATCCTCAACAAAATCATATCACATATTTAAATTCGAAATAAGTAAAAACAAAAGTTTTTAAATTATTTATAACAAATATTAATAAGTATTTCTCATTCTTAACAATATTAGCTACAATGTCCCTTTTGTTTAATCCAACCACCAAACTGGTGCAATTTCGTTCGCTAATATTTCGTTATCGATGACTCAAGGTCCAACCCTAAAATTAAATTGTGGGCTTGAAATCCCCCAGCTTGCCTACGGAACATTTGAAGTAAGCATCATTCATGCTTTAATACTACTCAGATTCCGAAACCTGATGTTCTAAATGCCATAAAAACCGCTTTTGGCGCTGGTTACCGACATTTTGACTGCGGAATGTTTTACGGCAATGAGAAAGAAGTAGGACAGGCCATTGCCGAATCGATGAAAGAGCACAATCTTAAACGCGAAGATATTTTTGTTGCTTCAAAACTCTGGAGTGATCGAAATGATCCCAAGAAGGTTAAACGTTCTTGCGAGGAATCATTAAAAGATCTTGGTCTTGAATATCTCGACCTCTATATTGTTCATTGGCCTGTTTCATTTCATTTTGAAGATGGTGTTGGGTTTTATTTTAACGTTCCTAAGACCCTTGTTTACGATAATATCAAGATAGAAGACACCTGGAGGGAAATGGAAAAGTTGGTTCATGCAGGACTGGCAAAATCTGTTGGTGTATCAAACTTCAACAAGCGCCAAATTGAGCGTATTATTGAGCATGGAACGATAGTACCAGCTGTTAATCAAATTGAAGTGCATCTTCACTGGCTTAACACCAAGTTGATTGAATTCTGTCAATCGAAAGGCATTCAGGTTGAAGCTTATTCACCGTTCGGGTCTCCTGGTGTCGTTAAGTGAGTAAATGCTGATTGTCATAGTTTTAAAATACTTTTGTGTTATTATAGAGACAAAGTTAAATCACTGTTTCAACTGGAGGCTGTTGTTGAGATCGCGAATAAGCACAAAGTTACTCCTGGCCAAGTTCTGATTCGCCATGGTATCCAAAGAAATTTGATTGTTATCGCCAAGAGTGTTACTCCAGAGCGAATTCATAAAAACATTGATGTAAGTTTTCCCCTTTACGTTTAGCTGCTGCTTTTGATGCTTGATTCTTTTTGCCATTTTATTCATTCTACAACAGGTTATGGGATTTGAACTGACTAAGGAAGAGATGAATAGGCTTAACAAATCTGGTATGAACATTCGCTTGTTCAAGATACCCGCGTAAGTTTACGATCGAGTTTATCTTTTAAATTTTGCAGTAAGCAATCAATGAATATTTTTTCTACATTGCAGCCTTGCCGAGCATCCTGAATATCCGTTCCACGATGAATACTAAATATTGAATATCATTTTGATGGGTTCACAGATTGTCTTATTTAAAAGAGAATATATCCATTAATTATTTTGTTTTCCTTAATTTTATTGTCAATTGTGGTTGTTTCTTGTTTGTATCTGTGTATTTAGTAATCGTCAATTGTGATGGTTAATAGATTCAGTGAAGCGAGAGTTGCATTATTAAAAAGTGTGCATAATTGTGTTTTTTAATTAGTGGTGTTATCTATTGCTGATGCTGTTGTATTCTTCAGTTATGGAATTTTAATGAGATATTTAGTTTGGAGAGTGAAATCTGAGTTGGTTTCACTTAACTCTTAGTAATTTAGAGTGTACCACATAGAAAAAAGATCAAAAGTTTGGATCTGAAAACTTGGAAGCAGAAAGGATATTACATTGTGCAAAGCCGGTGTTTATTCTCAACATAGTTGATGGCTGTTTTGAGCATGTTGAAGTCAAATTCCACTTGTGAAAGAGACATTCTCCTCTGTTTTTGTCGAATTGTGCAAATCCTAGTTTATACCAAATGGAATTTCCGTAGGCAAGATAATGGTAGCTGTGACATGTATCAAACCTTCTCAACTGCTCCATGGAAAATTTGCGAAGTCTTCCATCACACTTGAGGGGAGGGTTAGAGAGTGAAATGTACTTTGGAGCTGGAATTTTCCAATGATATATAAGTTTCTCAGGCATTTTTTGCTTGTTGTATCTAATGCCATCGTACACGAGTGTTTGTACGCCTATCACCTATTCATTGAACTCTAATGTATACTTTTCCTCGTTAAAATAAACTTTAAAAAGGTAATAATTGACCTGCTTTTAAGCAATCTATGTAAAATATCATTTCTATTTGCGAACCACGTTTACCTTTCCTAATGTATTTAATTTTACTAGTGCTTGATTGATTTCTGTCCCAACTGCGATTGTCTATGAGTGTTTGTACGCTTATCACCTTTCCCAGAACTCTCATGGCCACTTTTCAATGTCTGCGATAATGCCTTCTGGTTATCGACCACACTTCAAACCTTCGCACCACACCCCCACGAGGATGACACATATCTTGAGGGTAAATAGGGTTGAGGTTAATTATAATCACAATCTCTACCTTCAAGGTAGGCGCTGTCCCTGGCTATCGGCTATGGAATTAATTTATTTTCAAATAAAAGTACATACAGCAACTCATAGGGCAGAAGATACTGTGTTAACAATATAATCGCTTATTTGTTGTTAAGCATTAAAAGTGAAGAATATATCAAATGGCTTTTATGAATTGTAACTTTATGCTTTCTACCATTCTTGCTCGAGTTTATATTGCCGTCATTTTGCTTTTTTTCAAATGAATGAATACACATTATCAATTTATAAGCTTTTTAAGAACTCCTGTTCAATGAAGAACCAACCAGAATTTCTCCACATTATTGCAAAACTGATACGGGTTGACGTAAAATTGGAGGATAGAAGCTAGATTGCAAATATATATATATATATGTATATTTCAAATGGCAGGCGTTATGATAGGTATCATTAGCCCTTTAGTTGACTTCCCGTTATGATAGGTATCATTATCCCTTTAGTTGACTTCGGGGTTTTCAAAAATATATATGTATATTTCAAATGGCAGGCGTTATGATAGGTATCATTAGCCCTTTAGTTGACTTCGGGCTTAACAAAAAGAAAGAAGAACACCAAAGTGGCAAAAAGTCGAGAGGGAGGGGGAACAGAATAATTATTCACAGACGTAAAAGAGACAGACACAAAGGTAGAAAAAAGGTGAGGTGAGTACTGTGAAAGGAGTCGAATATGAAATGCAGTGGGGTCTTAGTAGTTTGAAGTCCAAAGTCAACTGCCTATTAATGGACTTTTTTGCCGTATGAGTATACGTTGCCCAGGGTGCACCACGTGGAGGTAAGTCTACCTCACACCCCCAGATTGCAAATATCAGTGGCATTAATTAATTAATTAATTCCCAATGTCCAGGGGTCAATTAGGAAATCTTTCAACTCTAATTGTGCATACGTTGGGTGCTTCATTAAACTCTGTTTAAAAAATGAAATAAACAGATCTGTTTGTTTAACTTTTAGTAAATTGCATTAACTAACCACATATCTTTGCATGTTTTTCGAGAATTTTATTCGACCATCAAATGCGCTAAAAATCTACCCCAGAACGTGTGTCTAGTGACGTCTTTCTATTCAATCGGAAACTTTTGGGAAGAATGTTGAAACCTTATTAAGTTCTGTGCTTTTGTGTCTCTTACAATTTCAGTTACATTGTTATGATGATTTCAGCTGCTGATATTATTGACAAAAAATATGCTTTATCAAGTAAATTAACATCATAGAAATGATCTCCGTTTCAATTGGTTTAATGCCTCTTTGTAAATATTCTGGAACAGACTATTATGGACGTTCGTCTATTCGTGAATTATAGGAAAAATTCACATATTGTTACTTATTTATTCGTGAGTCGTCTATTGATCTCATTCTGAAATTCAAATTGAGGAGCAGAATTATTTTTTTGTTGTTAGCTGTTCCGCTGGGGGTTCTAAGGTCGAATCCAATTCTTATTTGTGCACTCTTTGTCCTTTCTTGTTTTCTATGATCATGAAATATTTTAAAATTTCGTTAAAGTTTAAAAAATTATATTGGCATTTTCTCATTTTAATTCCTATTATGTCCATTCGCATTAAGATGCTTGAAGCTAGTTGGTGTTGTTAGATGAATTGTTGACTCGTAGTGTGGGTTTGAACAACTACAGACCAATATAAAAATTTCTTTTTAACTTTTTATATTGCCTTTCAAGAATTTGTATAAAGGGTTCCTTTAAGAAATGGCGGAAAACTTCACCTTGTGATAAATGTTTCTCTTATCTTATTTAACAATGACCGGTTCAAAGTTTTCGATTGTAATAATTTTACTTTCATGCAGAATGGTAGTAGGGCGACAACAATTTTGCAATTACCAAGTTCCATGTTGTTCGGGGAAAATATTTTGATGTATTAGTAAGACTTGAGTACCATTGATTGGATTTAGCGTAATGAAAGCCCTAAACACTCTTGTCATTTCCAGTTCTTTGAATAAACATAAAAAAAATTGCCATGCATTTTAAAAATGTTTGGAGAGATGAAGAAAATGATACACTTTACAAGATAATTTAATTGATACCAGAAATGTCATTTTCTTTAAGTGGTCAATGCTCACTGTGAACATTTCATCAAGGGGAGGGGGGAGGGTTTAACTTTGGCATTAGTTGCCTGAGTTACATTTTTCATCTCAATCGTCGCCGGAGAGTTACATTGTGTTCGACATCTCCTCGGTTGCGCACAAATCTTTCGCCTTTTACTAAAGATTTCCTTGTGGAGGCGCAACACAATGGGTTTGTAGATCCATTTTTGGGCTGCCCCGACTCTTGTCTTTTCCAGTTCTTAGAATTAGCATCAGAAAACTTGCCATCCATCTTTTAAAGTGTTTGGAAACATGGAGAACGTGATACATTTTAGGTACTACCTGAAACCTTTTCTTGGAACCTTAACTTCATACAAGAAATGTCGTCTTCTTCTAGTAGTCAACACTCATTGCCAATATTACATCAAGAGAGTTTAAATTTGTCACTTCTCGTCTCATTCTTCGCTGGTGAGTTTCATTGTGTTCGAGGCAAGAACTCATTTGACAAATTGAATCTCGTATAGATTAAGCCAGACAAGTTGCTGTGTGTTGAGTTACAAAAGGTAGGTGGGCAATGGAATGGGATGGAGTTTATTGAGTTGACATTCAAGTTAATGCAGAGACATGATTAGTTGCTCAAACTGTTTCTTGCCTTTCTAACATGAGGTTCGTGACCTATTGGAAGGACTCCTTGAGAAAGACACTGGCCTGGCGGCTGTGAAAAAGCGAGCCACTCACAAGCAGAATCAAATGTGTTAAGTCACGGTGAAGAAGCAGTGATCTTGTCGCCAGTAACTAGGTTCTTCAGAAATGGATCATTCTCATTGCGTTTCAGTAGCGGCGAATCACAGATGCTAATCCGTTGCGTCAAATGAATTTCCTTTAACTGGTGAGGGATCCATAAATCAAGTTTCTTGACGTAACCAAAGGTTTTCAATTTTCTTTCAATGCATGTATGTGACACATTGAGCTTCTCTGCAATATCTCGTGTTGTGCTGTGACGATTTGAATCGATAATGGCCTTGATATGGGTTTCATGCACTTCGACTGGGCGGCCAGATCGTTGTGAATTTTTCAGTGAAAAATCACTGGAACGAAATCTTTCAAACCAATTTCGACACTGCCTTTCTTTTAAGGCTTCATCTCCATATACGGCACATAACTTCTTTTGTGCTTGCGATACGTTCTTGCCTTTTCGGAAGTAATACAATAAAATGTGTCGGAAGTGCACGTCCTGTTCTTTCATTTTTAAATTGGGATAAAAACAAAACTAAAGAACTAAACAAAAAATTTTTTTACTAATTAACCTAGAAGCCCATACAGTAAGAAAAAAATATAGGTTAGATGCTCTGGCCACGTTAACAAAACAAAAGAAAGTATTGAGTTAAACTGTCAACAAAAACGGCAATGACTTAGTTGCCTACCCAATAGATGGAAAAATGTATAATGTGTAAATCGGAGAACATAGTTATTAGTCATTAATTGCACTAATGATGGGTGCCTTGAAATAAAAGTAACTACATTTCGACTTGTAAAACTTATTAAGAAACAAGCCTTAATTTTATTATGGTGGTGCTGAAATTCTTCTTCAACAAATATTTGTAGGATTAGGAATAATTGATGTTAAAAATCCTTCATAATTAGTGAATGAAAGATTTTGACAAACTCAACATGCGACGCGCATCAAAATTGCGCCAAGCCTTAAAGACTGTTGACATGTGCATTTGTCTACGAAAGCAAAATGCAGAAAACTAATAAAACAGTAAAGAGAAAATAAAAATATAGTTTTAAATAATAGTGTCTTAATGTTAAATATATTTTTTATTGTGTATCTATCTAATATAAGCAATAGTGACCTTTTTTGTTTAATCCAAATACATATCTGGTGGCATTTCGTTCGCTGATATTTCGATAACGATGTCTCCAGGTCCAACTCTCAAACTAAATAGTGGTCATGAAATTCCTCAGCTTGCCTTCGGAACTTTTGACGTAAGCCTCATGTGTGTGTTTAACTAATACTCAGGCCCCGAAATCTGTTGTGGTCAATGCTGTAAAAACGGCTTTTCGTGCTGGATACCGTCATATTGACTGCGCAAAGTTTTACGGAAACGAGAAAGAAATAGGTCAAGGCATTGCAGAATCGATGAAAGAGTACAATATTAAACGTGAAGACATCTTTGTCACTTCGAAACTTTGGTGTGATCGACATGATCCTAAAGACGTTAAAGGAGCTTTTGAAGAAACGTTGAAAGACCTCGGTCTCAAATATCTGGATCTTTATATAATTCACTTTCCCGTCTCCTTCCGATTCGCAGATGGTGTTATCTTTGATCAAGACGATCCAAAGACAGTTGTTCTCGAGAATCACAAACTTGAAGACACTTGGAGAGAAATGGAAAAGTTGGTTCCTGCTGGATTGGCAAAGTCTGTTGGTGTAGCAAACTTCAACAAACGCCAAATTGAGCGTATCATTAAACATGGAACGATAGTGCCAGCTGTTAATCAGGTTGAAGTGCATCTTCACTTTCTTAACACCAAGTTGATTGAATTCTGTCAATCGAAAGGTATTCAGGTTGAAGCTTATTCACCTTTCGGGTCTCCTGGTTTCTTAAAGTGGGCCTATCTATTTAAATTTCTAAGTTTTGTAATGATTTTAAAAATCTTTATTGTTTGTGTCTTTTAGTGATAAAATTAAGTCTCTTTTTCTTCTGGGGGTTGTTGTTGAGATCGCGAATAAGCACAAAGTTACTCCTGCCCAAGTTCTGATTCGTCATGGTCTGCAAAGAAATTTGGTTGTTATCGCCAAGAGTGTTACTCCAGAGCGAATCCGGACAAACCTTGATGTTAGTTCTATTCTCTAGTTTTGCCGTTGCTTTTTCCTTTTGTTTCTTAGAGGTATTTCTAACCTTTCATCGCAGGTTTTGGGTTTCGAGCTGACTAATGAGGAGATGGATAAACTTAACAAAGCTGGTTTGAACACTCGACTCTACAGGATATCATCGTAAGTTGTCGGTCGATTGCAACTTTAAAACATTCCTGCAGAACCCATTTAATGAATATTTGTTCCTACTATACAGCCTCGCCGAGCACCCTGAATATCCATACCATGATGAATTCTGAACCATGGGTATCATCTTTTTGGAATCGAAGTCCCCCTTCAACGAAATAAAGTCCATCAGGGCTTTCCTACTTTAATATCATGAAATCAAATTAAATAAAACTTTATATAATTTTTAGTATTATTTCTTGTTGGTACTAGTGTATTTGTAGTTTTAGAACCTCAAATTTTTAATTGGTATTTTAATTCACAAAGAAAAACGTGAATTTGCTGTATTTTAATCTTAAAGGCTATATAGAGGCACATATTTTGAATTTATTTCCTAACTGAATTAGAATGGATCGTTCCATTTTTATCTTCTCAAATTTACATTTCTTACCTAATATTAAAGCTGCTAATTCCCGTGCGAACCAATGAAAATTTCCAGTTTCTACCAAATAAATAAATTAATAAACGGTAGCTGTGGCGTATATCAAACCTCTCATCTGCTCCATGGAAAACTTGAGAAGTCTTCAAACTCACATGAGAGGGGGGAAAGTGAAATGAACTTTGATGCTGAAAGTTCATACAGACTTCGCAAAGGACAACTTCTTACAGAAAAGGCCCATGGGCTGTTGTTGTCCGATGGGATACGATGACACTTTTCTTCTTTCAAGTTTTACATTTACCTGTTGGAATTGCTAAATTTATCCCCAACACCATTCAAATCTCTTTCTTATGATTATATTTCGGACATTTGGCTTTGAATCACTTTAACAACGGTCGTCTTCTTCAAGTTCTTCTATCCCATCCTATCCCCTTCTACTCTCTTTCTAACTTACCTTTGTGCAATAAACCTTCCTCTACCTCCACGTCTTACATCCGTGTTTGAAAATGGCTTCTTCTTATTGTTTGAAGTTAAGAACTTGCATGGGGTTGACATAGCTGAACTTAGTTGTAGAACTCATGAGATTAGCATCTTCCAATACTTTTTCTGTCTCTTGGATTGGATCTGTTGAGCTTGACTCTGAAAATGGTCACAAGGCACTACAGGAAAATGCTGATCCGATTTTTTTACTGTTTCTTTAACGAAAGAGTAAACCAAGATAAGTAGTAATTAGGTTCCTAGTGTCATTGTGTTAAACTCAATATTAACTCAATACTCAGGTAAATCTTCATGGAAACTTTTATTTCACTGGTTCTTTTATGAAGTGGTTGAATATGTCTAATCTTCGATTTTCAGTGGTATAAATGCATCTTCGTCAACGATGGTGAAAATCAACTTTATAGACCGAGAGAAAATAATGTATATATATATATATATATTTTTATTTCGAATGGCAACCATTTTGAAAGTTATCATTAGTCCTTTAATTGACTTCGAACTTCACAGAGGGGAGACGCATCAAAGTTCAAGAGGGTGGACCGAAGAGTGATTTGCAGATGTAAAAGAGACAGACACAATGATAGGGAGTAGGGTAGGGTGAATACTGTAGAAGTGGTCGGATATGACATTCAGTGGGGTCATGGTAGTTTGAAGTCAGAAGTCAACTGCCGGTTAATAGACTTTTTGCCGCATGAGTATACCTTGCCCAGGGTGCAACACGTGGAGGTAAGTCTATCGCACACCCCAATAATGTTTATATAACGTACTGTAAATGTGATTATATGATCTTTCATCAACTTGTTAACTCCTCTCACAAGGTACAGACAGCCAAAACTGACAAGATAAGATTGAAGGTTCTATTGAGTCACTGAGGATCCGAAAAATTTTCAGTCTGAATTAGATTTAGCAGTTGTGAAACGATTGTGAGACATATCAGCATTGATATGCCTTTTTCAAATAGCCCAAAGGGGTTTATGCATATTTGTGGATTGTTAGGAAATGAAAAGGGAGCAGGGAAACTATACATGAATGCCCATACTTACTCACTTCCTTAATTTATCAATCCTTTATCATATCGACTTGAACTGTCTTGAAATGATGCCAAGTGTTCATATGATTCCACAGAAATAGTAAAAGAAGAAATACTATTTATGCTATACTCGAAGTTGCACTCGCTAATAGACGTTGTCAGAATTTTAAATGACTAGTATTAACTTCAAGTCTGACCTATCACAGGGTCTGAGCAAGGGATACTCTGGCAAGACCCATGGCAACTCGGATCTAGTGCTGAAGTTCAACACCCTAGCATTGTATTACTGGTGAGGTCACGAAAATAAATCAATCCGAGAACACGCACTGAATATGAGCCACACCACGAAATTTGAGCACGCTACTTATACTCTCTTTGTGAATCTTAGAGGGTTCCACATAACCTTCAATATGATATTCCAGATACAGGGGTGTGCGATAGACTTACCTCCACGTGGTACACCCTGGGCAACGTATATTCATATGGCAAAAAAGTCTATTGACTGGCAATTGACTTCTCACTTCAGACTCCCATCACCTCACCCTGTGCCATATTCGAATATGTCACAGTACTCACCTCACCTTTGTTCTACCTTTGTGTTTGTCTCTTACATCTTGGAATCACTCTTGTGTTCCCCCCCCCCCCCTATCGAATTTTTCAATTTGATGTTCCTTCCCCTCTGTGAAGCCTGAAGTCAACTAAAGGGCTAAAGATAACCATCAAGACGCCTGCCATTTGATATAAAATACTATAAAAATTCGGTTGAACTAGTAATGAATGACCTGTTATTTAAACAATCAAATTATGATGACATTGCAGGGGTGTGCGATAGACTTATCTCCACGTGGTGCACCCTGGGCAACGCATACTCATACGGCAAAAAAGTCTATAAATTGGCAGTTGACTTCGGACTTCAAACTACCATGACCCCATTGAATTTCATATTCGAATAATTCCACAGTATTCACCTCACCTTTTTTCTACCTTTGTGTCCGTCTGTCTCTTTTACGTCTGTGAATCATTATTCTTCCCCCTCTCGACTTTTTACCAGTTGGATGTTCCTCCTTCTCCCCTCTGTGAAGCCCGAAGTCGACTAAAGGGCTAATGATACCTATCATAATGCCTGCCATTTGAAATAAATAAATAAATGATGACATTGCAATTTTCATCAACGTTCAAATCACCGTATGCATACACTGTGTTTATTTTATTGGTGTGACGAATTCTATAGTCTTTTTGAGTTCGTACACTTATCTCCTTTTCCAAAACACGAAATGCAATTTTTTTCTGGATAAAAAATGCTTTTAATAATCAATCACTCTGCACAAATGGACTAAACATTTCCAAGAAGATGGCACATAACTATGGTAAATAGGGTTCTGTTGTTAATCTTAATCATAATCTTCACCCTCAACCTAAGAAATGCCTCCGGCTTTCAGCAGTTAGCTATCAGCAAAAATAATTTAATTTCTCATAAAAGTACATTCGGCAACTCATAGGACACTAGAAAAGGTATTAACAAAATATTAAAAGGAAGGAATAAATTAAATAAATGTTTATTTATTTCAAATGGCAGGCGTTTCGATAGTCATCATTGGCCCTTTAGTTGACTTCGGGCTTCACAGAAACACCCTTCTGTTCCCCCCCCCTCTCGACTTTTTCAACTTGATGTTCCTTCCCCTCTATGAATTCTGAAGTCAACTAAAGGGCTAATGATAACCATCAAGTCGCCTGCCATTCGATATAAATCAACTTTGGTCTAATGTGCTTTGTATAGATTATTTGGATCACTTATTTATTTTAGAACTGTTTATTGATCTCAACTTACAGCACTAACTTAACTGTACTGAAATTGAAATTGGAGTAATTCGAAGTTGAGTGTGCATCAATATTTTTGTCGTAGGAGTAAACAATATGTGTAGATTACGAATGCCAACTTTGATAAATTCATTTTCTACGGTCTTTGTGTCCTCTTTACTCCTTCATATTATTTGGTAGTCTCGTTTTTATAAATTTAATCCATTCAGTAATTTCTAAAACATTAGCCATTGAATGAACGATTATCGTGAACATACCTCTGGAATGGATGTTTACTTTATCCAGAGTATTCTTGTTAGGGTGGAAGAAAAGTGTAATGTTTAATAGGAAGACTGAATCGGTACAGGGCCTTGAGAGTTGTTAGAACGAAATGGGTATCCTTCATCATTAGAACGTGATATATTTGATCCAACACACTGTTGTAGGATATCGCTTATTATCGCCTCCTGTTTGAGAAATGGGTGACCTGGTAACTCTGGTGTCAGACTGTGGAGCATAGTTCTACTAGTCGGAGTTAGAAGATAGTGGTGGAAAAGAATCTCTGGTCTTTTCCTTTCCCCACCATATCACTAGGAGTATAAAGGCCAGATTGAGCGATTTGTCATCAACTTCAAAAGGGCCCTTTCGAAGTTCTAACGAGGAGGTAGTGATGGAGGAAGTTGTTGAAGGTTTCTAACGACCTACAGGACAACTCCTCACTTCCAGAACTGCTGACAGGTGGAGGGGCTGGTACCAATAATCATGTGGTGATACCTAAGGGCAAGACAAATGAACAAAGGAAAGGCCATAGAAGAGGAGTGTTCACCGATGGTGATCTCTTATTTTCAGCGTTTCCGAATTGGTTTGCCCTGGCCAGCTGGATGCGCTGTAAGTTAAAATCAGTAGTCGCAAATGGACATCACATCAGTGACTTCTGTTTAGATCAACAACTAATGGTATGCATATTGTTGCCATTTTTTCGATTTTCTTAGAGGAGGGAGCAGGTCGTCCTTCAAATAGACAGCCATTGCAAAAGTGAGGTGATGACCGCTTAACTGCCCAAATTTCGTTACTTTGTGAGACGCAGAAATGCATTTTCACGATAAGGTGGACATTAATTGATTCAACAGTCACCTGTCATAAGATTATAAATTAATTGTCTTCTTTTGCTCTTTTTGCAGGAAAAATTTCCGTGTATTTTGAACTTGAATTGGTGTACTTCTTTGAATACCTCTTAATTCAAGCGTTGGTGCATTTTTTCGACCTTTTACTTATCACAATGCCTGATTGGATGATGACGTGAATTTATGTATATGTAAAGGCACTTTGATCTCATTGTAGTCTAATAACACCCCTTCCATCGATAACTCGTTCTGTAGTTCAATTTCAAATGCCACTTTTATATATGAAGCGACTGAGTTCAATTAGGGGGCTGATTGGTAATGATTCCATCTGAGAGAGCATTCTCATTCCCATCCAAATCACACTAAAGATGGCAGGAAAGTCTAGCTTTTAAAAATACTGGTTTGATGCATTCCTACCCAAGATCATTCCTCTTTTACTCGGGCTAGATTCACCTTGACATGAAAACTCTCTCAGTGCGCCAGACGATTAATGACCAACATAGTCTGCAGCCTTTGAAATTTTGGAAATTTTGTGCACACCGTAAGTAGATTGTTCCACACCACTCGATCACCATAGGAGATAAATGCCCAATATTATTATAACAATTAGGGGAGCATAGTGTGTTTGAAGTACTAGGCGTTAAAGAGGGCACCATGTTCATTGTGCACTACTGTATTTGAACGCCAGTTTTTCAACTGAAAAGACGAGGAACGACTATTTCATTATTGTCTGCTTCAATTTACACAAAAAACTTCCAAACCACGAAACCGAAATTCATGACCACCAGATCAATAGTGCATTCACAATTTATCCTCAACGCAACTTTAAGTTGGCAATTTAATTAAAAGACCGAGTTCCTACATGGCTCTTCAAGTCAATCCTCCCATCAGGTTCGACTCCACATTTCACTCTCTGTGTAGCCTTAAACATCAGTGGTCTCTGACTTTCCACAAGCCAATAACATGGAAAGAAAAGAGGAGGTGGGGGAGAGAGAAATATTCTTCCATATTTCTGAGTAAAGACAGCGAAATCTCATTAAACTTTCAATCATCTAGTTTGCCACGACCTTCACAACACACTGGGATCAAAGTGGATAACGTTGTGTATGTACAAGACGAGAATGTCGACAGTTACATCGAATGGTGTCTGTGAGTGAAAAGGAGGAGTCGAAGGATGACGTACTTCTCATTTTCCAAAGTTTCCCCCCAGTCACATCTACCATGAAGGTACGTCAATTATAACATGACTCGGGCTACCATTTTTCCCACACGTACTCACGCAGACACCTGCTTGCCACCGACACTCTCACATTCTATCTTCTCTCTCCCTCATCCATCTCGGTCTATTTTCGCGGTTCAATCAATACACTTTGACCTACTTAATTTCTTGCTTCTCTATTTGCAAACGAGGTCTCTCGTTATTTTCTGTTAATTATATCCATAACAATGCGCGTAATGTAATTTGACAAATCCTAACAGCTCTCGTTATATAACTTGCAGCGATTCTCGTTATAATTAACCTTAAAGTGATTTCTAGTTAAAAGGTGATTTCTACCCATTCTAAACGTGAAAATGCACAAATTCACGGATTTGGAATATGCACTTTATTCATTATTTGGTTAAATTAGTACGTCAACATTCATTTGGTGATTTGGAATTTTGTTTGTGCCTTATTAGTTGATAGAATTATTCATACCTTGGGAAACATTTATTATTTCAAATGGCAGGCTTTATGGTATTTATCATTAGCCCCTTAAACTTTGACTTCAGCTTCAACCCAAGGGTGGGGGGAGATACATATATAGCAGCTAATTAATAGCAGTTCATTAGCTGTCCCAGTATCTCTGGCTTTCCGTTGTTACCTTTAGTGCTGGATACCGAATCAGGTGGGCCTCCTCCATTTCCTCCTGTAGGTTACATAGGGGGCATGTGGATTGTTTGTATACTCTCAATCTGTGAAGGTGTTTTGAGAAGCAATCGTGTCCGGTACGTAGTCTAAACTCAGCAACGGCTTCGATTCTTGGCCAGTCGGCTATGTCGGAGAGTGCCACTATCCACTGTTTCTCCTTTGTTCGAGTTTTAAGTTCGTTGCACCTTGAGGTATGGAATTCTCTCCTGATTAAGGCCTTCATTGTGTGGAAAGACATCGGCCGGTCCATGCATTGCAAAATCGTTGTCCCCTTCTTAGCAGGTGTGTCAGCAAGCTCATTGCCTTTAATGCCACAGTGACCAGGAATCCATTGTAGGACCACTGTTTTGTTTTCCACTCTCTCAGCAGCTCATAGAGTTTTCTACATTCCTTTATCTTAGCTGTTTGGGTAACTCTCTGTTTCCAATTGAGTTTATTGCTGACTGTGAGTCCGAAAGTATCACCGCTTTGGTGAATTTCGTATCCAGGCAACATAACTGGCATAGTGCTATCCTAATGACCTCTATTTCTCCTTCGAAAGAGGATCAATTGTGTCCTGCTGCTACATAGAAAGAGAAGAGTTCAGAATAGACACCTGCATCAACGTTTACTTGATTTTCTACTTGAGACCCATCAGTGAAGACTTGGAGTTTCACATCAGTGAAGACTTGGAGCCATTGATCTCCAGGATAGTTCCAGCAGTGAAGACTTGGAGCCATTGATCTGCAGGATAGTTGACCCATCTCCAGTATAGTTAACATTGATTGTCTCAAGGGCCAGTAAGTTTGCAGCCTCAACAGTGCAGACTTCTCACATCAGTGAAGACTTGGAGTCATTGATCTCCAGGATAGTTGACATTGATTGTCTCAAGGGCCAGTGGGCGCATTTGTTCTACCATCTGGTAGAATGGGCGTTGAAGTCACTTAGTACTACAGTTTTGTGTGAGATGTTCAGAAAATCAAAGTTGGGACAATTCTGGGGTGGATTTTAGACTGCATAATGTGAGGTGAGGACTTCTTTAACTCCAGTCAGAATTCCACTTGCAACTTGCCAGTATTTAGGTAGATTGTACAGGGTGTAACCTGGGAATTGGTAGTATTTAAATTTGTCATCCGAAAGGTTTGCTTCCATAATTGTGAAAATGTCAACATCATAGGTTTGTAGGATTTTCTGGACTTGGATCTTTTTGTCCTGTGAAATCCCTCCAGCATTCCACTGTAGGATCTGTAGACATTGTGATTCGCCCTGACTAGGACGATTTCTCTTATAGCCTTGTTTCAAGCTAATCATAATAAATAGAAGTCAAATCAAATGTTGAGTGATAGATTTTTTCGCCGTAAGAAAGTACGTTGTCCAGGATGTACCACGTGGAGGTAAGTCTATCGCGAACCCCCATTGTGAAATATAGAAATGCCGAATAACAACTTTCTTTTCCATTTATAAAAACACGTATAATCAAAAAGCATACACATATCTACATTTATGTTGAAATTCTCTTTTACACGTTTACATAGATTCTATAAAAATTGACTTTAAATTTAAAGATCATGAAGAAAGAATGGCATCTGCAAATTTAATGGGTGGCACCTGCCAAAACGGTAGCTCGATTGGAGCACAATCATATTTTAATATTTTTAGAAAGGAAATTGACCATAGTGAAATATTTTATGCAAAAATAATAAAATAATGATAAATTTAAATAACGAGATATTGGAAAGCAATTAATACATCACTTTATGAACATATTAAAAATGCGATTTTAAATGACCCTTTTGTTTAATCCAACCGAATAGCCGGTGCTATTTCGTTAACAGAGATTTCGCAAACAATGGCTCCATACCCGATGATTAAACTTAATACAGGCCATAAAATTCCACAGATTGCATTCGGAACATTTGACGTAGGCTTTATATATTCTTTTTATTTAAGCACAGGCTCCGAAAGTTGATGTAGTTAATGCCGTGAAATCCGCTTTTGGGGCCGGTTACCGTCATATTGACTGTGCAATGATTTACGGAAACGAGAAAGAAGTAGGTCAGGCCATTGCAGAATCGATGAAAGAGTACAATCTTAAACGTGAAGACATCTTTGTCACTTCGAAACTCTGGTGTGATCGACATGATCCTAAAGACGTTAGGAGATCTTGTGAAGAATCGTTGAAAGACCTCGGTCTTGAATATCTAGACCTCTACCTTATTCACTGGCCTGTTTCTTTCCGTTTCGCAGACGGTGTTGGGTTTGATTTAGATGATCCGAAGTCTGTTGTGTATGAGAATCACAAACTTGAAGACACCTGGAAAGAAATGGAAAAGTTGGTTCCAGCTGGATTGGTGAAATCTGTTGGTGTTTCTAATTTCAACAAGCGTCAACTTGAAAATATCATCAAGCATGGAACTATGGTGCCAGCTGTTAATCAGGTTGAAGTGAATCTTCACTGGCTTAACACCAAGTTGATTGAATTCTGTCAATCGAAAGGCATTCAGGTTGAAGCCTATGCTCCTTTCGGGTCTCCTGGTGTCATGAAGTGTGTAAATCTTGTTTAACAATTTTTCAACTTATCTTTATGATCACTATGGTTTATATTGTAGGGACAAAGCTAAGCCACTGTTTCAACTGGAGACTGTTGTTGAGATTGCAAATAAGCACAAAGTTACTCCTGCCCAGGTTCTGATTCGTCATGGTCTGCAAAGAAATTTGATTGTTATTGCCAAGAGTGTTACTCCAGAGCGAATCAAGACAAACTTTGATGTAAGTTTTCTCATTAACGTTTAAGCCTTGCTTTCTCTGTCTGCTTCTTAGAGGCATTTGGTTTCTATTTAAAAAGGTTTTGGGTTTCGAGTTGACTAAGGAGGAGATGGACAAACTTGACAATGCTGGTATGAAAATTCGCCTTTTCAAGATACCTGCGTAAGTTGTCGGTCGAATTTAAGTATAGCATTTTCTGGCCTCGTGCGTTCAGTGAATACTTGTTTCTACATTGCAGCATTGTCGATCATCCTGAATATCCGTTCCACGATGAATTCTAAATATTTAATATCGTGATTGATGGCTGCTCCGTGCTGACAATCAACTTTTATCCTATATCATTAAATCGATTTAAATAAATATTTATTCAATTTTTTCATATTTTTACCTTGACGTCTTGCCTTTATTTGACTCACATTGGCTTTCTAATTGCCCTATATTAAAAGGTCAAAATGAGATTTATTATTTTTATTTCCAATGTCAGGCGTTATGATATTTCTCATTAATCTCGTAGTTGACTTTGGCTTTTACAGGCAGATGGGGGAGTTCAAATAATAATAAGCTTTGGGTCAGTTAACAATAGCCCATTTGTTGACTTATGGCTTCCCAGTATCATTGGGTTTTTGTCGTTGTCTTTATTGCTGGACACCGAAACAGGCAGGTCTTCGCCATTTCCTCCGGTACACAGCTAAAACTTTGCAACAGCTTCTATTCTTGGCCAGTCGGCTATGTCGGAGAGTGCCACTGTCCACTACTACTCCTTGATTCGAGATTAGTTCGTTGCTTCTTGAATTCTTGCCTGATTAATGCCTTCATTGTGTGAAAAGACATCGACCGGTCTATGCCTTTCAAAATTGTGGTCCTCATCTTAGTAAATGTGCCAACGCGTTCATTGCCAGTGTCCATTGAAAAAAAGCTATTTTTTGTTCTTTTCTTGGAATAGCTGATATAGATTTTCGCATTCGTGTATCTTGTTTATATATATTGCTGACTACGAGTCCGAGAGAAATACTGCTTTGGGGAATTTCGCATCCAAGCAGCCTAGTGCTTTATCGATGGCCTCTTTTTCTATTTAGAATGAGGATCTATTTTGTCTTGTTGCTGCAAAGAAAGAGAATAGTTCTGACTAAACACTTACACTAACGTTTGCTTGGTTTTCTACGTATTATCTATCAGCGAAGGCTTTGAGCCATTGATCTGCAGGATAGTTGACATTGATTGTCTCAAGAACTAGTGAGCGCATTTGTTCTGGAGGGGTGTTTGATTTCCTGAAGTAGTCAAACAATTGGGAGCAACACACTACATCAGAGTCTGCTAATGGGTTCATGGAGAGAGAGAGGCTTTTTGGTTTGTCATCGATTTGTAATGCTTTCTTCAGTTCTGTGACTTTCTGTATTAGTCCAGATTGTATTTTTAGGTGCCTTGGCGTATTTTTGTGGGTGTTGAAAAAATTGTCCATGGGAATGCGCAGTGACTTCCCATACAGTATCATGTCCTTCTCTTTGACAAATGAACGCATTGCGATATTCCTTGTGGCCAGGAGAATTACATCAATGGGTGTTGATTCTCTCCATCCAGTAGTTAGTCGCAATGCTTGGTCGTGCGTCTTCTCGAGTCATCTGACAGCTACCAAGAAACTTTAAATATATTACATTAGCTAATTTCCCGCATATATTGTTAAATTGCAGACTTGGTCATGGATTTAAGTGGATTTCAAGGTGTGCATTTGTTGGTGTGTAAATGTGAAATCCAAACCCATACCGTACCTTTCTCACTAGACGACAAATTCATATCTATCCGGAGTTTGCAGCCTGCATAAGTTCTCTTCAGTAGGAACTAGACTGAGTCATCTTCAATAAGTGCCATTGATTTTCTGCAGTAATTTACTTTAGTAGCAAGTCAATCGATATTGCTATAATGATATTACTGACCTAATTAAACGCAGATTTCCCCCAAACTCGCCTGCATTCTCACCAACTCTCACCCCTTCAGGCATTGTCGTCATGTTAAAATTAAAAGAAGTTCTTTCTCTTATTAGTATTTTTATTATTACCATTGGAACATTCCGTCTTCTTTAACTTGGGTGTGCGAGATAAATTAAGTTAAAGGGAAAAACTCCAACTGAATGGAGACTCCTTCATTCTGAAAAACACTAAGTACTGGTTTAACTTTAAAACGCCTCAGGTGATGATGATTATTTCATTTCTCCAATTGGTTAAAACATTCAGGTTGTAATTGATATGCTACCCTAGACAAAAGTCATAAACAAATGGCCTTTTAACTTTGTTTACTTTCAAGTCAAACAATTCCACTGACATTTGGACATAAACAAGCGCATAGGCGCATTCGCAGTAAGATCAAACAAATCAAAAGTCGCTAATTGTTTAAGAAACTGTCCGTGTAGATTTTCATTGTGGTGAGGAAATTTACAATTTCTTAAGTGGTTTCTTTAAAGAGATTTTAACCAAGTGTTTTTTTCATTTATATTATGAGCGAATAGTTAAAAAGTAGATGAGGTAAGATTTTTTGAAATCGAAAATGACTTGATTCCATATAGGCACTCCAATGAAACTTATTTCATAAGATCAATTGAATTGAAACTGGGAAGTCTATCAACATGATTCAGTCTCCATCCCTAAAGACAACTTAATTCACAGTTCCTTCAAAAAAACAAATGTTTACAAACTGTCTGTGTCGATTTTCATCCTCTTCAAGAAATTTAAGAACATTTTAAGTGATGTTCTTTAATAAGATCTTAATCAATTTGCAGATTTTCACTTACAATTGCTATGTTCAAATGCGTTTCAATTCAATTCTAAAGGTCGAATTTTATTAAAATTAGCTCAATTTTAAAAGGCAGATGTGTTAAGAGTTTTAGAAGTCGAATGTGACTCGATTTCAAATAGGCATTACGATAAGACTTATTTCATAAGATTAGCTAAATTAAAACACGGAAGGCCTTCAACTTGAATATTCTGACCATAAATTGAAGCTTTCCTGAATCCGACCGATTTGACGCTGAGGAAAATTTGAGAGACAAAGCGATCTCACGAAACCTGCGTCTACTAAAGCTTCCTGTGATTGACAGGCATCATGCAGTGCAGTTTTGTCTTCCATGTGGCCTCAAATGCGATATTTTCGTGTTTTAGTGGTTCCTGTTAATCACCTCCACCTATTCTGTCTGGCATTTATTGGAAGGCAAGAGGTCAATAAAGGTGATAAATATTTAGATTTTCCACATTAAGTTGGCTCAAAATTTGTTTCCACCTTTAATCATGGGTATTTGAGTTATGAGGAACAATGAAAACTGTTGCTGATTGCGTTAGGAAGCATTCACTCGAATGTCGCAACATAGTTAGTGCAAACAAAGGATGAATTTTATTCACCAGGCATTGTGATGGGTCTCGTAACAAATGACTTTTCAAAATTGTTTACATTATAACCAACCAAGGTAAATCTCAATTTCACACAACCTATTCGATTTAATAATTTAATTTCTCAACAAAAAAGAGTGTTCCTTTTCATATTAATTGGATTTTTCTAAGGTTATTTCTTATTTGCCAATGGAAAAGGTACTTCAATGTCAAGGTGAGAAATGAGGTTTCCTGGTTGATGCATTTTGCTTTATCACTCAATGGTCATTTAATTCACACACACACACACACACACACACACACACACACACACACACACACACACACACACACACATTGGGTGATGATATCAACCACAGTCCCAAAAAGTTGAAGTTGTCTAATGAATGAACTACAGCCTTCAAACTAACTCCACTTTGGTGAGACGGTATTCATTCGTCCTTCAATGAAGGCGCGGCACGTGGTGAGCAGTATTTCCAACAAGTATTTCGATTAAGAAGTAGAGTGCTTTGTCTATTAACATATGGGATCGTGCATTGGGACCAGGTAAAATGATTTTGGACATGAATTGAAGAGGCAGAGATAAGTATCTTGTGATTCATTTCACCTTTTCTCGAAATACTACCTTGTCAAACGCTTAATTTTATCCACTAGCTGTGGATAAAGCATGTTTTTGAAGCTGAATTAATGGTGCTCCTTAAGAAAGTATTATATTGAAATTTTAATTATATTGGAAAAAAAAGAAAGATTTTTTTGCCAGATAAAAATTTACTTTGAAGTCGGTAGTAAGGACAGATTGAAGCAATGAATGAGCGGGTTCTTTGATGAGGCTTCCAAAGGTGGCATCAGACTACACAAATAATCAGGCTGTCAGATGACTCATAATTGGAATAGTTCGTTGAAAATGGATAGATCGTTCTGAACTTCAGACTTCCACGACTGTGCAATAGGGTAAATGGAACTGATTGAGCATTCGATTGTACAAAGACACTAAGAGTCTGCTAACAACACCTGAATGTGAGGATATCAGGTCACAATTGGGCAATAATAACTGGATATCGTGGACGAGAATTCAGTCAGAAACTACAACTTAATCGCCCCCCACCCCCACTCCATCCCACCACAATTTGGGAACCTTAAACATAATACAACTCCATCACGATTCAATTCACCATAACCACGAAGTGTTAGTATGTACCTCGAATCACATTTTAATTCTCACCGAGAACCTAATAGTTACATCTTCAATTTTGGGGAGGTGTGATGTATGTTTGTGTTTGTTGTGAAGTTCGCTTCTCAGAATTCCGTCATGTTGCCTCAATGTTTAAATGAACTATCTCATTCATTGTTACATACCCCAAATGTGGGCTCAAGTAGGTACCTCTTTACCAAGACATCTGCTCTTTCGTGTTGTGTAGCTAAAGTTAAACATTGATTCGTTAAGTCGGTTGAATTTACTACCACCACATTATTTATTAACAAAACAGTTCTTCCACTTCGTTTGATTTACTTCTTCACCTGTTGATGCACCAAATCAGGATTACCTTGTGGTCAACAGATTATCTCCTCTTCAAAAGCATTATTTTGAAGTCGGATTGAAGATGGTGGGGAAGCTAAGTTTCAATTACACTAGTTTGATCCATTCACTTATATGATTATTTCTCTTCTTTTTCCACATTCCAGAGACAATAAAACGAAATCTCTCAAAACTTTCACCTTTCTAGCTTGTCACGATCATCACCATACGCAGCATGTCAGAGTGGAGATTATTGTGTGGGACCAAAATATCCGGAAAGTCCTGGTATGGGTTTTAGTGGGACGAAGACAAGGATGTCGGCAGTTGCATAGTGCGAAGTCGGTGAAGAAGAGGTGGGTCGAAGGATGACTTAATGCACACTTTCCAAAGTTACTCCTCAGTCACTTTCGTCACGAGGTGAGGTCGATTTCTCTTCTTACTACAACAAGGCTCTAGCCACAATCGTTCATGCCAAGACTAAGTCACCGATTCATAAATCTTCATCCCTATCACGTTTCGCCTGAGATATATACATTATCGTACTTTCAGTCATGTTCTAGTCCATATGATTCATGCAAACCGCTGTTGTATTAGCACTCACTCATGTAGACAACTGCGTGTCACTGACACATTCGTGCGTTGTCCTCTCTCTCCACCTCATCTCTCCTGATTCCTTACCGGGTTTCCTTCAGTGCGCTTTGGAAAGCATATTTTCTTCCTTCACTTTTTGCAAGCACGATTGCTCGTTGCTAGATCTTAAATACTGCCAATGCATATGCGAGAGATTTGTGGTGCATTCGTTTTTACAAATTGCCAACTCCTCGAGGTTCTTACTAATTCAATTGCAACGATTCTCGGAATTATTTCTCCTAAACTAATTTTACTCTATTAGTTTGATGCGCAACCATTTTAAAAGAGAAAATGCAAAAATTCGCAGACATAAAATATGAATATTTTAAATTATTCTATTAAATGAGTGTGCAAAAATACATTCAGGTAATTGTGATTTTCTTTATGCCAAAGTAGCCTTAAGTATACTGCATCAGATGAAAAATCTATTTTGACAGTATATTCACTTAAGTTCCTACTTGCATATCTGCTTAAAGTGAAAATTCAAATACTTTTCTGAGATTTCATTAAAATTTATTTATAAAAATAGTGAAAAAGTTTGAAACGATTGGCACTTTTCAAAAGTAGAACGAGAGAAATGGAAGACTTCTGCAACCTCAACATGTTATATCCTTTAAAATTGTGAAAAGGATTGAAAACTATTAAATTTAGTAATTTCACGAAAGCAACATATTATATAAAACAATAATGATTAAAAAATGGTAAATCAAAATAATTATATCTTAAAAAGTACTCAGTTTTCTACGTTTGCACTAATTTAATATTACCAAAATGACCCTTTTGTTTAATCCAATCACATAGCAGGTGCTATTTCAGTTGTTATTTCTGAGCTATCGATGTCTCCGGTTCCTAAACTTAAACTGAACAGTGGCCATTATATTCCTCAGCTTGCCTTCGGAACTTTTGAAGTAATCCTAAAATACTTATTGCTAATTATTTCATAGGCTCCGAAAAAAGATGTGTTAAATTCAGTCAAAGCAGCATTTGGCGCTGGTTACTGTCATATTGACTGTGCGATGTTTTACGGCAACGAGAAAGAAATAGGACAGGCCATTGCAGAATCAATGAAAGAGTACAACCTTAAACGCGAAGACATCTTTGTCACTTCGAAACTTTGGTGTGATCGACATGATCCTAAAGACGTTAGAAAAACTTGCGAAGAATCGTTGAAAGACCTCGGTCTTACATATCTCGACCTCTATCTTATTCATTGGCCTGTTTCATTTCATTGCAAAGATGGTGTTGGTTTTGATTTTAATGATCCCAATAACACCATTTTCGAGAATCACAAAATTGAAGACACCTGGAGAGAAATGGAAAAGTTGGTTCCTGCTGGATTGGCAAAGTCTGTTGGTGTGTCTAACTTCAACAAACGCCAAATTGAGCATATCATTAAGCATGGAACGATGGTGCCAGCTGTCAATCAGATTGAAGTGCATCTTCACTGGCTTAACACCAAGTTGATTGAATTCTGTCAATCGAAAGGCATTCAGGTTGAAGCCTATGCTCCTTTCGGGTCTCCTGGTGTCATGAAGTGTGTAAATCTTGTTTAACAATTTTTCAACTTATCTTTATGATCACTATGGTTTATATTGTAGGGACAAAGCTAAGCCACTGTTCCAACTGGAGGCTGTTGTTGAGATTGCAAATAAGCACAAAGTTACTCCTGCCCAGGTTCTGATTCGACATGGCCTGCAAAGAAATTTGATTGTTATTGCCAAGAGTATCAATCCGGAAAGAATTCATACAAACCATGATGTAAGTTCTCTCATTTAATTTTGGCTGTTGTTTAGCTTTCAAATATTTAGAGACGTTTGGCTTCTGCTTTCAAAGGTTTTGGGTTTCGAGTTGACTAAGGAGGAGATGGACAAACTCAATAATGCTGGTATGAATATTCGCCTTTACGAGATGCCATCGTAAGATATTGTGATGAATAAATGTACAACATTCTTTCAATAAGAGTTCAAACGATCTTTGTTCCTCTATTTTAGCATGGTCGGGGATCCTGAATATCCGTTCCACGACGAATTCTGAACATTGAATATCATATTTGCTGGAGGACCATGTCCTCTTATGTTCAATCGAGAATATCCATCTAATTTGCTTGATTTACATCATAAGATCGAATTAACTAAATCTTCAATATATTAAAAAATTTTTCCTTTTAGTAGTAGTGAATTTTGTAGTTGTCGACCTTTGAATGTAAACTAAGAGTTGCAGTGTGCAACTAGTTAAAAGTTTAAATGGCGAGAAATATGGAATTTGTGGAATTGCATTGCACATTGCCCGCGTTAATTTCCTAGCACAGTGCGTTACATGCACTCATGAAATCACACTCCACTCGAGAATGGAACATTCACAATTGTTTATTCTCAAGTTTAAACCTCCTTGGTGAAAATGAATCTCTGAATCCCAGTTTAAATAGGCTTAATACGCGGTTGGGATAGATCGTTTAGATGACACCACCTTCAAAAATTTGCATTTTTGAAATAAGTAACTTAAAATTCCACCTATCTCTATAGAAGTAATTGAAATCGACTTTGATGCTACAATTTGATACAAACATCGATTAGAAAAACTTATCTCTGAAAATGTGTCTTGAGAGTGGTCGTCTGCCAATCTCAAAATATCTTCTGAACGAACTTCAAATCCACTAACCTTTTTAGTTACCTAAAATCTCCTCCAATTTCCTGATGGTACACCCAAATTTATCCCCTCTACCATGTAAAACTCTTTTCCAATTTCTTCTTGGTCACGAATCGTGTTGATCAATTCAACAATCTACCTTTGATACAGGTGATTTTTATTGAAATGTTTTTATTCATTTGAAATTTCTACCCCAGTTTGTTTGCTAATGTTGGTTACTGTGTGGCATAAGCGATGGTAACATTTCCGACCCAAAATTCCCTTATGCGCTCGAACATCCTGGAACTTGCGGACGTGATGCGGATCGCAGTATTGGCCAAATGAGGTCACGAGTGCAGAAACCTCTCGACTAATCACCTATCAATTTTGCATCATAGTATTTTCGTACAAAAAACAATAGTCAATGATTAAGTTATATTTTCTCTATAGTTAAAATCACTCCACTTCAACATGCATATACTTTTCACGATTATTTTGCAACAGTACTTTACAGTGTCTCAGCTTTCAGAGGACGAATTTCAAGTACTTTATTTTGAAGAAAATATTGCATATCAACTGACAGGCTTTATGATAGGTGTCATTAGCCCATTAGCTGGCTTCTCTCTTCCCTGTGTTCTGGGTTTCAAT